TTCACAATTAATATATTCAACAATTTAAACATAATTTCAATTTCTAAATACTCGGAACTTTAAACATTGATCGTAATATTATTCTCTAAGTTTTATGGTGGTGGGTTTAATCAAATTTGTTTGGAAAATTTAATTCAGCTTGAGAATAGATTTCAAATTAAATCTCGACTTATAAAGAACGACTGCAATAAAAATGACTAAAATAAGAATATTGAGTAAATGCATATATGCTTGAAAAGCATTGAACGACCGCACTCGGCGATATGTTTACCCCAACCCCGACCACCTCGAAAATAATTATATGAGCGCTACTACTTGAAAGTGATGCTGTCTAAGAATGTAAATTTTAGACCTTTGTAAAAAAAAATAGATTAAAAGTTCAATATAGCATTAAAGTCGTTGGTAAAATTAATGTCGATAAATATTTTGTTTAACTTGCAAAACATATTTTAATAATTCACGCAAAGTAGATGGTTTCATTCTTCTGCATTTTACATACCTTTTTTGCTTGTTTGCAAATTGTTGCTTTAGGCTATGGTATATAATAAACAAATATGTCAGTACCAGAAATGCTAACTGTTCAAATAACAAAAAAAAAAAAAATATTCATTACTGAAAAAGGGAAAGCCATTGACTTTCCAACTAATTGAATGCTTTGACTTAATGTCTCATTGATACCAAGGAATGTTTTACTTGGAATCGACACCATAATCTTTTTACCATTTGTTTCAAATCACATAATAACAGACTTTATCACGTTGTAGATAAGAATAGGACTGGAATTTTATTAGTGATATCGGTGTCATTTAATAAACGGATAAACAGAAAAAATATATATTAGCACGTGCTTTTAGATGCGTTGTACTAGGTACTCTCGTTATTTTCCGTCCGATTTACATTCAAAGGTAAGCAATGTTCGTCCAAACAAAATTGTTAACCGTATCAACTCCCAAGTCAGCTTTAGTATACGACTATCAAAGACTTACCTAGAAATGTCAACATCAATATATGCAGTTGGATCCCCAGGGGGTTATTTTACCGAAAAAATATAGATACTGTATTTATTTCCACACAATTTAATATACAATAATATTGCATCTGAAATTTTCATCAAAAAGGAGCCAAGACCACTGAGATCATTCCCTAGTGGGTCATGGAAAGAATAAAATCGGATGAATTGTTTTCAATGAGTAGCCATATATCTACCTAGTTTACTTAATAACAATGATGATGATGATGATGATGATGATGATGATGATGATGATGATAATGATTATAATGATGATGATGATGATGATGATGATGATGATGATGATGATGATAATAATAATAATAATAATAATAATAATAATAATAATAAAAATAATAATAAATAAATATATAAATAAATAAATAAATAAATGACAAGAACAACAATACTACTACTAATACTAATAATAAAAACAATAACAAGAACAACAATACTACTACTACTACTACTACTACTACTACTACTACTAATAATAATAATGATAATAATAATAAAAACAATAACAAGAACACTACTACTACTACTACTACTACTACTACCACTACTACTACTAATAAAAACAATAAGAACAATACTTCTACTACTACTACTACTACTACTAATAATAATAATAATAATAATAAGCAGTAGTAGTAGTAGCAGTAGTAGTAGTAGTGGTAGTAGTATATCGTTTAATTCTAAAAGAGATCAATTGAATTAAAGTTTAGGAATGACGTCTCCAATAAACGACATGAACAGTTTAGCTGTTGGTCACCTAAAAATGTATTTCCACTCATTTTAGACAAAATCAACTTGTCCATTGTACTATACAAATTTAGAAAATAACTGTACTTTTTGTATCGGAATATGAGAGAATAAATATATACACAGAAATTTAAAAGGTCTAAATTCTTTGAAAATGCATGTTATATTTACAAAGTCACTGATGACGGGAGAAAACTCATTGCCTTTCATTTAATTAATCGGTAATTCAATTATGCCAAATCTTATAATTAAATAGATTATTATGCATTCATTACTTTAAACTAGTTGATCACCATTACTGTCTTTAATTGGGCATATCTTTAATTAAGCATGTCTTTAATTAGGCTTACTTTCTCCCAAAATTGGTAGTATTATTGAAACCTAAACTTAGCTTGGAAATATTTCTTGCTAAGAGTTCTCTCTCTCTCTCTCTCTCTCTCTCTCTCTCTCTCTCTCTCTCTCTCTCTCTCTCTCTCTCTCTCTCTCTCTCTCTCCTTGTATATATATATATATATATATATATATATATATATATATATATATATATATATATATATATATATATATATATATATATATATATATATATATATATATACAGACAGACAGAGACCTGCCGGCGACTAATGCGGTCCAAGCAGTTTCTAAGCAGTAATCAGTGCAGTAAGCGACATAGACCTTGATCTGCTTCTTATGCAGTGTATCAGGATTGACTGTTGGATTCATCTTCTGAGCGAATACAGATGATATTTATCTGTCTCATTTACTGGTTTCTTTCTTCCATATTTTGAACAAAGTTTAGATCTTGTACCGGCAATTGTTTTGCAGTAAGATAGTATTTTGTAGACGTTACTGTTAATTTACAATAGCTTTGTCTGGCACAACCAATAAAAAAAACCCACCATCCCCCACAAAAAAACTGATTTTTTTTTCTAACTAGAAGCTATGAGGTATTAGCATAATGCTATATTTTGTATAGATATAGTAATATCCCCAAATTTAATACTATGTCCGCATTTCTCATGTATGTAGTTGTCTTGTATCTGTTTATTGCTATTTCATGTGCTTGTGTACTACATACCTGTGTACATCAGTAATTTAAAATATACATACCAGTGAAAAATTTCGCTGATCTTTATTATTTTCACAACTTAACTATGGAAAGTGTTACAATTATTTCTACTAGTCGATATTCGGTTACTAGTATTTTGTACATGTAGCCCTGTTGGTAGAATGTTTCAGTTATGATTCATTAGTTATTCATGAGCTAAAAATAACTAATATTTTGTCTCCTCACCGAACTGCCTTCAACCATGTGCTTAGTACCTGAGATATTTCTGAAAATGCTGGTAGCATAACCTAGAGAACTCATGCAAGGTAGGAATCAAAGGGAAAAATAGATCAAATAATTATCTGCAAATTATCCCGCATTTTGCATGGTTGGACACCGTGATAGCTTTGTAACATGTCAATACGAAACGCGTATATAATTTATGTTTCAATAATTGTCATATTTTGCACCCAGTGATATTTATCGAACTGTAATACAGCTTCTTCATTTATAAATGTGAAATATTTATAAATGTTAAATATTCAAGGACGACGTGTAAAGATGGTTGATTAAGATATACGTGTGATAAGCAGCCATCTATTTATCATGCATGTTGTGTTTTATCACATATCCAGGATACGCAATAGCAGTATCATATGTATGTATGTATGTATGTATGTATGTATGTATGTATGTATGTATGTATGTATGTATGTATGTATGTATGTATGTATGTATGTATGTATGTATGTATGTATGTATGTATGTATGTATGTATGTATGTATGTATGTATGTATGTATGTATGTATGTATGTATGTATGTATGTATGTATGTATGTATGTATGTATGTATGTATGTATGTATGTATGTATGTATGTATGTATGTATGTATGTATGCATGCATGCATGCATGCATGCATGCATGCATGCATGCATGCATGCATGCATGCATGCATGCATGCATGCATGTATGTATGTATGTATGTATGTATGTATGTATGTATGTATGTATGTATGTATGTATGTATGTATGTATGTATGTATGTATGTATGTATGTATGTATGTATGTATGTATGTATGTATGTATGTATGTATGTATGTATGTATGTATGTATGCATGTATGTATGTATGTATGCATGTATGTTTGCATGTATGCATGTATGTATGTATGTATGTATGTATGTATGTATGTATGTATGTATGTATGTATGTATGTATGTATGTATGTATGTATGTATGTATGTATATATATATATATATATATATATATATATATATATATATATATATATATATATATATATATATATATATATATATATATATATAAACCATTTTTGTAGAAGCAGATATCAGAGATCTATTGGAACCTTATGTTGTACTAATATTGACATGGCCTGATGCCGTTCTTTTCATTGTTGTTTTGGGGCTAATGGATAATTAGGTGTTAAAGTGCATTATTTCAAGTGTAGCAAAATAATGAGTAGTTCATTATACACCTAGTTATATAAATATTGCCAAGAAATCAATCATATTGCAGAGATAATCTTTAATTATGCCGAGAGATTCTTTATCTAGACATACTGATAGCAAGCGGTGAATAGAAAGCGATATCAACATCATAAGTATACACAAAATTATTATAAATGATGAATTTGAAGGGTATGCATTTTTAGATTTATTCATTAAAGCTTTAAATCTCTATTGTCGTCTGCTTCCGTAAAAAATGAAAAAAAAAATAATACTGACACTAATGTGGTGGAGGTATTCATATTGAAGTTACAGCAGAACTATCAACCACGCATGCGCATCAGGAAATGTAATTATTCAAATCTTGATCATTAGCGTAATATTTGAAATTTTGTTAAACTGTGAAACACGAAACAGATTTGCAAACTGAAAATAATTTGTATATGCAATGTGATGTGATGTGATTATGATTTTTAACGTAGCTTTAACAATTTGTCAGTCATATCGCTACGATGTCTGCAGTGTGGCAGTTTATAGTGAGGTATAGCACTGGGGCATCATGTCCCAGACATGTAGCATGATGTCAAATCCAGTCACATTATCTTGACACCAGGCCGATCAGTCCTAACATTAACCTCTTAATGCTGAGCGTCAAGCGAGGCAGCTGTTAGTACCATTTTATAAGTTGTAAGTCTTTGGCATAACTCGACCGAGGATTGAACCCACTACCTCCCACATCCGAGGCAGACGCTCTAACCACTAGGCCACCGGAGCAGTTTGTATATGCAATAGTGTTTTTTTTTGCATATTAATATGTATATGCAATAGTAATTAAAAATTTGGTTATATTCCGCTGTTTTAAAGTTGTCTAAAATAGTTTTGAAAAATGTAGAGGATTGTTATATCTACTTGTCATCATGTTTTCATGATGGAACTCAGCATGCACTACGTAAGAAATGAAAGTTGTTCTTGATATAGTTGTACAGCTACATTAAATTTCAAATACACAAACGGCTTACCGACCATTCTATACCATACATCATCATCATTGTCGTCGTCGTCGTCATCATCATCATCAGCATCATTATCATCATTATTATTATCATCATCATCATTATTGTCATCATCATCATTATCGTCATCATTATTATTATTATTATTATTATTATTATTATTATTATTATTATTATTATTATTATTATTATTATTATTATTATTATTATTATTATTATTATTATAATAGCGTCACTTTATAAATGCATCTTCTGGTGCTTAAATCGATTATACGCAAATGTCAGACTTTATCAAATGTGAAATTTAAATCATTTATGGTTTATGACAGGAAGTGTAAAACAATTTTACTGTACCGGATCATTTATATTGACGCCTCGCATCCAATACAAGGTAAATTTGAAACTTAAGCTAGGGGCAGCTTACCAGTGTTTCATTTCCACTATTTCACATCATAAAGACAAAAAATGATGTTGCATCACATCATTGTGGGGAATGAAATCCAATATCACTGACTATGCAATTTTATTGATATACGAGGGCGGGGCTGTGACTTTTGCCCATTGGTAGGTTCATCTTTGCAATGCTTAGCGATACTGAGGCAGCGAAAAGATCGACAAAACCAGAATGCTGGCTTACTATACGTTGTTGATCACATCAAGTTCAAATAACACTGTAAGATAATAGCAATTCAATGCTCTAACCATATCCCTTTCTTCAACTTACGTATTGAATCCTAGCTTTTCTATAAGTGCAGATTTTCATAGAATCCTGAAAGGAGATTTCAGCACAGATGACATTTTATGCCCAACAAAGAAATCGTACAACTTTATTCAACTGCTTGATGTCCACCAGATTGTTAACCACTTGGCCGATTATTTGATTCTTCCTGTACGATACATCATATATATGATTTTGATCTAGAATCTACTAATTATGTTCTTAAGAAGTTTTTAATTTACATTCATCATAAAAAAGACCTCAAAGAATACAACTCCACTATACAATATTTTATGAAAAAATAAAACACTTATTATTTTACAAGCCTTGCAAAAGTACTTTTGCAAAATAATTTTAAATCTAAACAGAGATGAGTACTAGCATCTTCAGGAGACTGCATTACATAGATTTAATATTTTCTAGTCTTCATACTATTGTTCCAAGCTGAATGATTATTTGCTTTATCTTTACGCACATAATCTAATTGAATCATCCTTCATAAAAGACTATGATAAAACAGATTTGTGCAAATCAATGGGTACCTAATAAAACCCACTTATGTCTACCAATAATATCTGAAGCGGAAATCTTAACATCTTTTCTCAGTTTGGATAGAATAAATGAATTGTTCTGATGAGTTAAGCTTTTAAAATCTTTAAAACGAATCTCTGCCTTTATCACCGCTAATATCTTCGAATCCTGACAAATGTCTTCTTGCTGGTATTCAAACTAGGTACAAAAATAACTAGGTACATAAATATGGCAATAAAACGGACCGCTCTGATTACAGGCATATCAACTGTCAACTCTTTCATAAAAATTTTAAAAATACGTTGCCCGCCATTTGTTTCCGTGAACATACCCTTTTAAAGGCATTTTCGAGTACCTCACTCTTGTCTAACTGCTTTGGTCAAACTTCTAAAAGAATGGATAAACTTTATAGATAATAGTGATATTATTAGAGCAGAATATCGTTATTTTTGAAGAGTTTTTCAAGCTTGTGGACACTAACGTTTTAAAATATAAATCTCAGTGCAACCGCTCTCACCGGAATCTCTCTTCGGTTACCTAATATCTCAATAGTCGGAAACATTGTTTCAGATGTGATGTGATGTGATGTGATGATGTGGTGTGATGTGATGTGATTATGCTTTTAAACGTAGCTTTAACAATTTTTCAGTCATATCGCCACGATGTCTGCAGTGTGGCAGTTTATAGTTATTTATATCACTGGGGCATCATGCTCACCCAGTCACATTATCCTGACACCAGGCCGACCAGTCCTAACACTAACCTCTTAATGCTGAGCGCCAAGCGAGGCAGCTGTTAGTACCATTTTTGTAAGTCTTTGGTATGATTCGACCGGGGATCGAACCCTCGACAACCCGCATCCGAGGCGGACGCTCTAACCACTAGGCCACCGGAGCGGTCGTATTGTTTAAGATAATAACTGTCAATCTAACGTCAAGAGAATTTAGTATGACGCTTTACAGGGGTCTAAGTTAGGTCCTATTCTACTTCAACTTTGAAAAAGAAAATAATCATATAAGCCCTTATCGCATGTTGCTAAGTTTACCACCGACTTATTTGCTGATGAACAAATATTTATACCTATGTGAGATTAACTACAAAACTTTCTATGCTTTATTTGTTGAATTTTACAAAATAGTTTGGCTTTTGCTCATTTCTGTTTACTTAGTTTATGACAATAGAGTCGCAGTAAGTCAATGCATTTTTTTTAAAAATATATTCTTAGTTATTTTTTGTGTCATGTGCTTGTATGTTCCCTGCCTTGATATTTGCGTACACGGTTGCTGCATGCCTTGATATTTGCGTACACGGCTGCCGCCTATCTTGATATTTGCGTACACCGTTGCCGCCTGCCTTGATATTTGCGTACACGGCTGCTGCCTATCTTGATATTTGAGTACACGGTTGCTGCCTGCCTTGATATTTGCGTACACGGTTGCTACCATGTATACCATATATATATATATATATATATTATATATATATATATATATATATATATATATATATATATATATATATATATATATATATATATATATATATATATATATATATATATATATATATATATATGCGTACACGGTTGATGTTTGTGGCTGTAGAAATTTCCGAAAGGTCTTTACGTGTTCCTTAGTTTGATTGTAAATACACAGGTAAATGATCTGAGGCCAATATCTTTGCCTCATTTTTTGCCAAAATTGAAACCTCTATAAATAAATAAATAAATAAATAAATAAATAAATAAATAAATAAATAAATAAATAAATAAATAAATAAATTTCAAGTAAGTGAAATTGTGAAAGATATATAGGTGAAAGGTAGTCAATAAAATTTAAACAATTGGAACAAAAATTATTTTTAGTTTTTAATATTAGAAGATTTATAATTTTCTATTAGAGCTTTGCTAATCAAAAGGCGAACAGAAAAATTAAATTAGTTTATTAATAACGTGATTTTCAGGAATAAAAGAAATATAGTTAAAGTCTATATGACACCATTGCGCATTGTACCAAGCAGATGCGACACATTTAACTATTTCTCTTTCAAGACAGAGTTTTGAAAGCCATCGGTAGGCTACAGAGAGTAGGTATGGGGGTACATGGAGCAATATTTGGTCGAGCAATTGGAGCTTATGTTTTTACTTTCCCGCGTCAAAGAAGGTGTGACTAATTAGAATCTTTATCCTGCTAGGAAACGGCAATCACTCAGGCGTTAAGTTTGGCCTTGTGTCAGGTTGAATTGGGTCACAATTGGTACCCCCGGTTCTGTATCCACGAATGTAGTTCTAGTCTTTTTTTGAACATTTTCTCATCGGTCCGGTTGTGATGAAAGAGTTATATTTATGCATTTTGGTAGGGATATAAACGGAATTGTTCATTCTTGAGAATATGAGCTTATGGTGTGGTTGTCTGTGTGTATTTTGGCGATAGTGTACAGTGAGTAATAAGGCCTTAGTGGTGATTCGGATGTGAAATCTGTTTTCCATTGTATATTGAACCAATGGCAAGAACTTCACCGTGAAGTTATTTTAAAGGTATCCAGTGATGAGAAAAAAAATTAGAGATTAAATAGAATAATTAATTGTATTCTGAGTTTAGGTTATATCTTGAAACAAGCAGTCAATCAAATAAGAGGCAAATCTCCACGACAATATACTTTTCCCTTTGTATAGCCAGTCTAAGGTCTTTCGGAGAATGTCAGTAAGAAAGTCACTCTCTGTCTTTTACTATGTCTGTCTGTCTCTCTCTTTCTGTATTGTATGTATGTATGTATGTATGTATGTATGTATGTATGTATGTATGTATGTATGTATGTATGTATGTATGTATGTATGTATGTATGTATGTATGTATGTATGTATGTATGTATGTATGTATGTATGTATGTATGTATGTATGTATGTATGTATGCATGCATGCATGCATGCATGCATGCATGCATGCATGCATGTATGTATGTATGTATGTATGTATGTATGTATGTATGTATGTATGTATGTATGTAGGTATGCATGTATGTATGCATGCATGCATGCATGTATATTATGTATGTATGTATGTATGTATGTATGTATGTATGTATGTATGTATGTATGTATGTATGTATGTATGTATGTATGTATGTATGTATGTATGTATGTATGTATGTATGTATGTATGTATGTATGTATGTATGTATGTATGTATGTATGCATGCATGCATGCATGCATGCATGCATGCATGCATGCATGCATGTATGTATGTATGTATGTATGTATGTATGTATGTATGCATGTATGCATGTATGCATGTATGCATGTATGTATCTATGCATGTATGTATGTATGTATGTATGTATGTATGTATGTATGTATGTATGTATGTATGTATGTATGTATGTATGTATGTATGTATGTATGTATGTATGTATGTATGTATGTATGTATGTATGTATGTATGTATGTATGTATGTATGTATGTATGTATGTATGTATGTATGTATGTATGTATGTATGTATGCATGTATGCATGCAT